TATGAACAACTATTGTCTGAAAAATTTTTTCAATTGCCTAATACTTTATTGAGATACTCAAGAGAAAATTTATAACTTTTTCAATGTTTACCTTATAATCTCTCGATAACTGTTTGTCCTGTACTAACTTTTCCCTCCGACAAACAGTTATCGAGAGATTATAAGCTAAACATTGAAAAAGTTATAAATTTTCTCTTGAGTATCTCAAAAAGTATTAGGCAAATCAAAAAATGTTTCAGACAAAAGTTGTTCATATTAATTAGTAGAATAAGATAGTGTAATAAACAATAGGGAGTTCCATTTAAAAAAATTACGTCGACCTCCATACATATATGGTAACCATAAAAAATTAATTTTTTTCGAAAATGTATTTTACCATTATATAGACCTTTTAAAATCGTACAATTTTTGGCTAAATGATTTTTCCGTATCTTCCATATTTTTCGAGATATTTCACCGGTCCGGTACTTTTTCCTCATCCTGTATATTTTTCATATTATATCATGTTGGGTTATATAAACAATTGTGGTTGTTATAAACAATTTATTATTTTACGGCTGTATTAATTATATTAATGCAATATATATATGTATATTTTATTTTATTTTTTACTACTAATTTTAATATTACGTATGTATCAATATATTTTTAACATGTTAGTAATTTAATAATTAATGACACTTGTATTTATCATACTGGTGAAATCCTTTAACACTTATTTCATTTTGATTATTAACGGTACACTATCATTGTTCATTAAATTTTTTTTTAACCCATACAGCACATGATATTCGGAGAACGTTCTAAGAATGTTCTAGAATATTTTTAGTTCTAGAACATTCTTAGAACGTTCCTCGAATATCATGTGCTGTATGTGGGAAGCCCGCTGCAGACGACGCTATTTTTCCTGCTGGATTGCTCGCGATTTACTAAATTACTAGGAATTCTGAGTGCTGAGTGGTGCAACTGAGTGGTGATGTTAATTTATTAGATTGCAAACACTCCAGCAGGAAAAATAGCACCATCTGCAGCAGGCTTTAAATATTTGTTTTATCAGAGAGATCATCATTTCTTAAGTTAAGTCGAAGTTAAACTTAAAAATTTAAATCGTCAAACTGATCATAGAAATCTTTCTTCGTCGTTCAAGGTACATTCCTTATATCTCTGTTTAATTACTTAAAATATTTAACTAATTGATTAATTGATTATTTAGGGAATCAGACGCTTTTCATACTTGAAAAGGACCGAAATTCTCGGTCGAAACGTCGTGTAATTCCTTTAATGAAGAATGAGAAACTCTGATGCATTACAGAGTACATGAAACAAGGATGGATTATAGCATACCAACTTTTCGACACTAAATATTTTATTTTTCACAGTTGGTAGCCCTGGGAAACTGTAGCCACAAAAGAGACGGACACGTTTTTACGACGTGTTGCTTGTGTGCGAGCGTGCGCGCGCAGACCGACTATCTCCACTCCATCCCCACCGCCGCGGCACCGTCCGTGCTAACGTTCTCGGCTGGGCACACTGGTTCCCGCACTTCCCACTGGTTCCCGCCAAGCAGCTAATCTCTGAAACCGGTTGTTCGAGCTGCGACAAGAATTCGCCTGTGTGATAGGTACGTGATTGCTTGCTTTTCGGAAAGTTAACTCAACTCCCTTCGTACGACATTTGCGTTGTGATATCGGAGTTTACGAGTAAAGCGACGCGAGTCCTTTGGCAGCCGTTCTAGTTCCCCGTTTTTAAACCTTTCTGAATTTTGTGGCTCATAGGATGAAACCGATTACCGACGCCGCAACGACTACCGCTTCGGAGGTTAGTACGTTTTTATTTCTCTTTTCACACGAAACCGTCGAGAAAAGTGACGTTACAACACGATTTCACATTATAAATAGTGGTCTCTCGCTCGATTTTCTACAAGAGGAATATCGAAAAGATTGTTTTACAATGTATTTATCGAGGGGGAAACCGCTGACCAAAATCTTGTACACCAATGCCCACTAATGCCCAGTGGGCATTACTTTATCTTATTATCTTCTTTTATCTTATTGTATCTTATTTTATTTTATCTTTATAATGCCTCAGCAAGACAAAATGCCCTAGTAATGCCCGGTAATGCCGCAAATCTGTACACCACAATGACCTCAGCGGTTTCCCCCTCGGTATTTATATTCTTGAGTACAATGTCCCGAAGGTCGTTTCCTTCAATTATATTTACATTCCGAGAGGACGTTTCAACCGTAACATCGCATACAGAATAATCGAGTGTGTTGGCAATAGAAACTGTAGTTTATTAAATTTTCTTACTGTTAGTATAGAAACAGCTATTCAGTCCATTGATTTACTACTCATGAAAAATTATGTTACCTTGATTTAGGTAAATTTTATTAAAGATGCATCTGTATATTATTGTACGTGATATTCTTCCTGGAGCAGTACACAACGTGCTGTAAATAAAAGATAATATAGTTTAATTACACGTTTAAAATGTATAAAGAAATAATGTGTAAAATAGTATAACACTTGTGTGTAAAATACATGAAGTCATTTATGAACATATTGTAATGATTCCTTCGATTAAAGCAGGATAAAGTTAGAAAATCGTTGCACGAACTGCAGCCCTCAGCTGCCGATAAGGAAACATTAGTTGGCGCGGATAGAACAATCAAGTCTACTCAACTAGGAAAAGAGACAAAATCTAAGAAGTAAGTTAACACTTTTCTCTCGTTCAACCATAAAGAGATTGTAAAAAGTATTTATATTGCTGAGTATGTCTCAAAGAATACACCGAAAAAGTCATCTCTTATAGAGTCGTTACTTTAAGAGAAATTTCATGTAAAGAAACTAAACGTTAAACCTGTACACATTTTAGAAATATACCTACAAAAATGAAAAAGGTTTCTAAAAAGCGAAAGAAGGTGACGAATGACAAAGCTGTCCAAACTGGACCCGAGGAAAATGTAGAAATTAGACCTGAGGATTTAACATGCACAGGTATATTTAAAGAAAATATTTCGTTCTTGTCATTCTAAGGCCCGGTTTCACCAACGTTGTTTAACTGTAAGCTTAGCTTAATTCGCTCTTTGCCTCTTTTCAACTGTTACTTTAGAAAGAGACAAACGTGAATTAAGCCAAGATTAAAGTTAAACGACGTTTGGTGAAATTGGGCGTTAAAAGCCAGAATATACCAGAGGCCTGGATTTTTTATTAAAATATTTTCTTTCAGATTTAGCTAACCTTAGCGAGAATTACTGGCGGATCCTGGCTGAAAGGAGGCGAGTTGCCCTTAGTAATGTTCTAGAAGAAAACAAGGAACTGTCTGAGCATATCCAAAAATTAGAAGAAGAAAAGCGGATTTACAAAGAAATGCTGAATGAGACAAGGGCACTTGTTGAAGTGCTGCAGGTAATGTTATATCTGCCTATATTACCTTACAATATTCAACGTCAATTGCTGCTTTATAATTATGTGTTATATATTTTATTGCAGGAAATGATTGCAGGAGATGATGACAGAAACAATATAAATAATTCCTTAGAAGATACTATTTGATTTAAACATTTTTTTATGAC